CCCCGCGGAGGCCACGCCTCCCCCAGGCCCCTCACCTCCCTGCTGCGTCTTGACCTGGATGGGGTCCGAGAGGGGCCCGTCGCCCACGGAGGTGAAGGCCAGCACACGCACAGTGTAGGTCTCGTCCTCCAGCAGGCTGCCCACGGTGGTCAGCAGACTGTCATCCACGTTGTGTTTCTGCCAGTTGCCCACGGGGTGCTCAGGCTCCATGGTGTAATAGATCCGGTAGCCCCGGATCAGGCCGTTGGGCTCCACGGGCTCTTCCCACTGGATGATCATGGTGGTGGCGCTCAGCATGCGGGCCTGCACGTTCCGCGGGGCGCTGGCCGGGGCCTGTTCCCCCGTGCGGGTGACCACCGACTCACTGGGGGGCCCCTGGCCGATGGAGTTGACGGCCGACACCCAGATCTCGTACTCCGAGTTGGGGCTCAGGCCCCCGATGCTGTAGCGCGTCGTGGTGATGTCCTCCTTGATCTGGTACGGCCCGTCTTGGCTCTTGGATTTATATTCGATGACATAGTAGGACACGGGGTCTGGATTGCCGGAGTCCCACGTGATGGTGATGCTGGTGGCTGTGTTCTCAGTCACCACAGGCGTCCCCGGGGCTTTGGGGAGAGCTGTGGGTGGCAGGCACGGTCACACGTCAGGCACCCTGGCTGCGGAGCCCGAAGGCCCTCGCTGCGCCTTGACTTCCTCGCCAACGACCCCCGGGCCCGGTGACCCCCGTTCCCACCATCTGTAGGAGGGTTCCGCAAACTATGGCCCGAGGACCAGCAGCTGCTTTTATAAATAAAGTTTTATTAGAATACAGCCGCGCCTACGTATCACAAGATGGCTCCTTTCGCGCGACAGGGGCAGGGCTGGGGGGGCTGCAGCAGAGACCACGTGGCCTGTAAAGCTGAAAATGCTGACTTAAAAAAAAAAAATTTACTCTTGAAGAAAAACATTGAGTTTTGAAATTGCTGGTGCCGTCTCCGTGGTTTACTCTGCTCAGCCACGCTGTCTGTTCCCACAGCACACTTGCTGTTCCCTGTACCTGAAATGTTCCAACCCCAGAGGGGCCACACGGCCAGCTGTTTCTCGTTCCTTAAAGCTTCCCGCACCACCCAGGCCACAGGCGCCCTCGCCCAGTGCTTGGCAGAGGCCGGAGTTTTGTTCACGATTCTACGCTCCTAGCACCTAGATGATCGTGACTTTCTCTCCCACTCGTCCCAAGTTCTTACACCACCCCGGCCCCAGGAGAGGCTCACTCGCTCAGCAAGATGACCAACAAACTAGCTGATGCTCATGTTTTCCATGGCCCTAGGACAGGGCTTGGCAAACTCAGCCTCCAAAGGGCCACACAGTAACTATTTGAGCTTCGCAGGCCGGGTTGAGACGACTCAGCTCTGCTGCTGGAGCAGGAGAGCTGCCACAGACAAGGCATGGATGACTGGGTGTGGTTATGTGCCAATAAAACTTTATTTATAAAAAACAAGGGGAGGGCCACATTCAGCCCGCAGGCTGTAGTTTGCTGGCCCCTGTTCTAGAGCTAGGAAACGATTTGGGGGCACCTTCCTCTGAATCTCATCACAAAGTTGAGCCATCAGGAGACCCCCGCGGTCCCCTGTCCCAGCTCCAGCTCTCTGAGTCTGCACAGGCTGTTTGCTTTTCTTAGAAACACTCTTCATCTTCTTTGGCTCATTCCTGTTCAACTTTTAATCTTTCTCTGACCTAACTTTTCTGGGGGGCGGGGGGCGGGGGTGAGACCCTCGACTCTGGGGGGTCTGA